ATTTCTCTCTGCTGGGCAGATGACCCCATAGTTTACATTTTAAACTGAACTGGACATTAACCAGTTTTATATTGAACCCAGCAATGTATTAAATTACCTATAGAGACACAGCTTTCCAATGACCTTTGGAACAGTTTTCACAACTTGTTGATTCTGTCATCAGTTAATAAGTTGAATAAAATTTTTGCACTTCTTCATTCATAGTTGTATGAGTCATGTTTCTTAATTCTTTGAAAATTATACTTGGACAGGATGATGGCATTCTTTAAAGAAAAGATTGGCAACTGTTTTCCCTTATTTATTTTCCCTCTCAAATTTTAACATTGATTTTCAGTGATGAGTCAAAGACATTTAAGATTTAAACGTTCTAAAATTATGCCACATATTGACATTTTGTTTCCCAGATGTCACATGCAAGCTGACATCTAGGGGAAAGGAAAAATTCCTTGTAGCCTGCTAGTAACTGTACAGGCTTTCGCATAGTTATGCTACCTTTCAAATGCACACATAGAAGGATAATAATATATATTAATTATGATCATCGCAATATGTTGTAATAATTAGGAGCATAAGTTCTGGACCCTGATCTGGTTATACTATTTATTAGGCATAGGGCCCTAGACAAACATCATTTAATGTCTATGGGACCCATTTAACTCATGGATAAAATAGGGCCAGTAATAGTACCATGTCATAAGATTACTGCAAATAATGAGATCATCATGCAAAAATGCCTAAAACAAGATTTAGCACTAATGGCTAAAACAAGATTTATAATTAGCACTCAATAAATGTTAGCAATTATTACTATCATACCCACTAGAGGAGTTGACTTGAAGCTATCTCCTAGTTACTTACAACTAGAAGATTCTCTCCTCAGGAGAGAATTAAGTCACCACATAGAAAGAAGATGCTTTTGTTAATACTGCCTGGAGAAAGAGCTTCAGCTGTGACAAACCTTGGCCAGAAACAGGCCTCTTGTCTGTTTCTTGGATTGGCTTTGAATCATTGCCAGGTCTTTCAGGAAAACGGAAAACAGATTTGTAGCATTTATGAAGCTAAGGCCTTATCTGAGTTCCCAGGGCCGGTTTGTCAAATGGAAATGAGCTGTTCCATTGCTTTATTCCCCGTGAATTAGCCTCCAAGCATCTGGTTCAGTGCCTTGCTGTTCCCATATGTTAAAAAGGGGTGAGGATTCTCTGGTGTCTTTGTTTTCTTTGTAACTTGGGATGACTTGTTTTTGCCAGCCTTTCCAAGCACTACATTGTCTGAGTTGTCATTCTGTCTTAGTGGGAAGAACAACGAGCTTGACAAAATATTTTGAAGCTAAACTTTGAAAATTATTTTGTTTGTCGGATAAGTGGTTGGGTTTATTTTTGTCCTTTGGGTTTGCTTTTGTTTCGTTTGCTTTGTTGTTCTGTTTGGTAACCTGATAAGCTCTAAGGTGGGAACAAAGAAGCAAAAAAACTCGTACATTTATTAGGATAGTGGAATTCAGGAGTGAGAGTAAAAGGGAGGCTAAACAATTAGTTTTGCTCTGATTCATAATATGACAAATTTGGGTCTAACTATTTACTCCTCTTTAAATGCAATGTTTGCCCATCACTCTTACCAACCATTGCCAGCCCCATCAACATCTCTAAGAGGAAGACTGAGATGACATACCAGAAAATACCTTGAGTTCCTTTTCAGGAACATGTGAAAATTTTAAGTGTGGGATATCAGACAGTAAAAACACACAAGAATATTTTTTTCCTTGTACCTTGAGGAGGAAAAAAATATGGATAAAAGTCACATTTATCTCAGTGATTACAACACCAGGCAATGACAAATGCTCCTGCATGCACAGCAGAACTAAGAATGACTTACTTATGCTGTTGCAAACTTTGGTTTTGTAGCCACTGCATGGATAGATTCTGCCCTTGGCATCTCATCACCTCACACAAACCAGTAGTTTCTCTGAGGGCACAATAATCAATAAACATGCTCTACATGGGGACCTCTAGAAAAACTACAATTTTCTCAAGAAATTTTGACTTCATAGGAGCATTTACAGTTAGTTTGTTCATATCAGACCTGAGAGAACTCATTTCAACAGCATTTAGTTCACAACCAAATCATCTTAGATTTTAAAAATTATGTGTTAGTCATATATGTAAGATTATTTTGGATGCCTAGCCCACCTTGAAAGCTAAAATCACAATTTTATTATTTTATTCCTGTTGAAATGTGTGACCATCTGCTTTATGACACATCCAAAAATGCACTGGAGCAGAGAGAGAGAGATTTCTTTCAGGTTAATGTTATAAAACATACAGTAGCATGGCTAAAATACAGAGCAATTTCTCTAATACATCTAGAATGAAATCAGTGAAACCCGTGCTGGAGTATGGGTCAACCACCAAATTGGGAAATAGTGCCCCCCCCTCTCTTCATGTGTGAGAATACTTTGAAATATGAACTGATTTTTGCCTCCTTGTCATTTCCTTCCTCCTCTCTGCTGGTGTCTGCCCAGTCAGCTTGGCACTGCTGCATGCATGGCCTCAGGAGAGGTGTGACGAAGCAGAGCGCAGAGAAAATAGAACTCAATTCAGGGTTGTTGCCACACAATAACCAAGGCCTTTGTGGGATCAGGACAGATGGGCATAGACAGTGAATTTGGAAGAATATTTATTGAGGGAGCGCCTTCACCTGGAATATTGACAGGTACAAGTACGCCTGGGGCAGCAGGCAGGAGGAAAGTGGAGGGGACCGGATGTGAGCTTAGGTGCTGGTGGCTTCCCACCCATGTGCTCTGCAGCTGTTACAGCCTCCCAAAGACAGGGGATGAAAGGTAGAGATGAAAACCCAGAAAGTCTGAATACTGGGAATTAGAGATACTTGAATCCTATCCTGGGTAGAACCCTAAAAAGCAGGCAAAACCAAGAGAATGTAATGTAGGCAGATGTGGCCAGGGAACCTCACCAAGTTCCCAGCACAGAGATAGAGTAAAGCTGAGGGACCTGGAAGGGATGACTCAGCATGACCCTGCATGGCCCTAGACCAAGCCCAGAGGAGATGATATTGAAGACCTGTCACAGCATGACCCAATGTCTCCATGCCCCCACACTAGACAATGGCCATGGAGTTCATGCTCTATTCCAGGAAATGGAGGGAACCCTGAACTGACTGAGTTTCTTCTGAGATCTTGGAATGAAATCTTCAAAAGGTTAAATAGAGTTCTAGAAAATAAATAATTTCTTGAACATTAAGAATTTAGACTGAACTCTATCAGGTCCAATCATATCGTCAACCTTTCTTTTTGATATCCATTCTCTCTTCCCCTCAATTTTGCTCCCTTTCTTCTCTTGGGTAACAAAAGTCCTCAGAGTCTCTCCCTATTACAATTTGGTGTCAGAAAAGGAATTGATATACCCTTAGGCCAAGATATAAGTTGATGATACAATTTACAGTATTACCTCACCTAGAGATACTTGACTTTGGCAGGAACTGGAAATTAGGTCATAAGAGAAAATCTGTAATTGTGGAAAGTCAGGTTTCCAGTAAGTGGGGGGATGACAGTTTCCTGGGAAGATCTAGTTCTTCCCAGATTCCACAGTCATCTCGTATTTTGCCTCCCATAGACTGGAGAAACTGCATTTGATCACTACTGGTTAAGTTCTCAGAGATCAGCAACAGTATTCTTCAACTTTTTTTCCTTCTTCATTATCATTCTCCTAAGTATTTTTAAACATCTTGTTAATTTCCCTCCCCTCACGAAATTTTAATATTTCAGAAACATTGTGGATTGTGTTTTTTTGTTTTTTTTGCTTTTAGTTTTTTTTTTCTTTGCATAGAAGAACTGGGGCCAGAAGTGCAGGGGGTGAGAGGATTCACCAGAGACAGAGGGGAGCAGAACAGGCAGATCTACTGAAATACAATTCTAAGGGGAGCAGCAGACAAGACAGAAGAGGTCTGTTGTGGCATATATGGGTTAGCTCCCTGGCCAGGGATCGAACTTAGGCTGTAGCGGTGATAGCGCTAAGTCTTAACCGTAGGCCACCAGGAAGGCCCACACAGAAACATTGTAAGAGCGAGTCTTAACTTTCCCTTTTGCTAGAGGCTATACATAAAAAAGCTAAGAATTATTTTTGCCTCCTTCCCTAATGGTTTTTCTCCCTTGGGGGACACATTGAGAATTCACGTTAAGAGTCAGTGCAGAATGGAGCCTAAAGAACCATTAGAACAAAAAAGGGTTATTACTCCTTTTCCCATCCTCTACCTTCACCTCCATTTCCTAGCTTTGAAATGACCCTGGTAACACACAAGAAAGATGGAGAACTTTCTCATGTTATGAGTGGTCACTGCCTCAGGAAGTGCAATGAATATTCCTGGGAAGTTTAGGAAGAGTTGGCTTTTCTTTTCTGAACTTGTTAAAAATTAATTTATGTTCAAGGCTGGGCCAGTAGAATTTGAAGCACCTGACTCACAACCAAGTGTTCCTATAAACAGTGAGCCAACCCAAATTCTTTTAAAATGGCCTTGTTGAACCCTTCTAACAATTGCTTCTTGTTACAACAGTATGACGGGTACTTTGTTTGATGGGTACTCATAATGAACTGCTGTATACACATGCTGTAATTATAAGAAGCATAATAATAACTCACATTTATATTGCTTGCTTTCATCTCAGTGAATCCCAAGGCATTTTACACATTATATCATTAATAATAAAACAGATAAATGCATTCATTAAAGCATTCCTCTTTTTCAATGTATATGCTATATAATAGACTACAGAAGTCTATTACTATGCAAAAATGTGAGCAATCTAGTTAGCACTTGCAGAAGAGGTGAGTTTTCTCAGAGTGGATATGGTAACCACACTAGAGCCATCTAACTTGCCTTTGTCAGAACTACACCTTTCATTTGTTTGATATGGTGATGGCCAAGCTCAGCAGTGATGAATTCATTAATTCAGTTATTCACGAATGTATGCATACATTCATTCATCCACTCACCAAACATCTCTCCCAGATCTGCTTCTGCCATGTCCTGGTAATGTGGTGGGTACTGTCTGTCCTTGGCAAGTACAGAGGGAGCGACTCAGGGATGATCTTAAGGCAAAGAACCTGCAGGGCATGGAAAATTTCCTGGCACTCACTTTTGGGTGTAACAGTAACTTTAAACACATACCCATACATGCCTGAAGCTTAAAGTTTTGTGTCTTCATTAAATTAAACCAAAGTTACAGCATGCCCTCATCCTGCTTGATACCCCAAAGAATTCTGTAGCCCCCAGAAAAAAAACACACATCTGTTCAGAGTTACAGTAGTCATGCCAGCAGCCGGTTCTCCTGAGAGTCCAATGTTGTTCCCAAAGAAGGTGTGACCTAAATTGCCCGACTACCCCTAGTAAGGCTCTTGCCCTGTCTCTCCAGTGATGTGTTTGGGCTTGTTTTGTTCCTACCGGCTGGTATTCAGCCGACCCTGGGCATGTCCACAAGTACCAGGCAAGCTTTCTGAGATAGACTGGTCTTTCTGCAGGCAAGATAATCTGTGAATGTGGATGATGGGAGCTGGCCTTTGTTGTAGTACTGGGTGCTGGAAAACTTGCACCACAAACGTGTCCCTCACCAACCCACAAATGCCTGAAGTCAGCCATGAAAGACTGAATCTAAAAGACTGCTTGAGTATGGACTGGTGCCCTCAGTCTCTTTCCACCAAATTTTTTGCTGAGGGTCAGAGAGGATCAGTGCAATAAAGGGTGGATGGTGCATGAGCAAAGCCACAAGCAGCCAACACCCTCTCTGGAGGCAGATTCTTCCAGACTCACAGGTACTTGGGGAATTCCTCCCAGCAGAGCACTCGGAGGTGGTGCCAAGTGCTGGCTTACCTGCACGACCCAGCAGGAATGTTTGGGTGGCTGCAGGACACGCTGCTTATTTCATTTCCTCTCCAGCTTCTCTAGCATGCACAGCACCAGGAAGAGAGCCATCTGTCCTTTCCTTGAAGATATGTGTCCTGCTGGGAGCACAGTTTTAACACCCTTATCTTACTGACTTTTCATGAGATTGTGGGAATTTAACTCTCTGAGCATCGGAAAACCACTGTAAAATGAGATGATAATATGTAACCTCTCTCAAGCAAGAGGTTAGACAATGAGGGTCTTTTTCATTATGAAACCCTAGGTTGTGTGGTGGTCCAAATCCTGTGTGTTCACACTCTCCACCATGTCCCAGGAAGCCTGAAAGCAGGGCCAGCTTCTTAGGCATGGACGTGACCTGCCCTGTGTAGTCACATGGGGTGCTGTGGGCAGAAGAGCCTCACACTTGGCTTCATGCTCAGCTGTAGCTGTCTTGAATTTTTTTTTAAAGATTTATTTATTTATGCATACAAGAACTGGGGTACAGGCCAGAGGGTTGGGGGGGTGTGAGGATTCACCAGAGACAGAGTGGGGAACAGAACAGGCAGACTGACTGAATGGAATGAAAGGAAAGGTCTGCTGTGCTATGTGGGTAGCACCCTGGCCAGCTGGGGATTGAACTTGTGCTTCAGTGGCTGCGGATAGCTTTACAGTGCTGTGCTTAACCCCTTGTGCCACCAGGGAGGCCCTGTCTTGAATTCTTGACAACTCTAACATTTTTTTCTGCACTAGATTATATTTTGCAGCCAGTCCTTCCTGACTTGGGCATCTTTTCCTCTAGGAAGTTTTTTCTAAACCCCAAGAGAAAGTGAGCTGCCCTTCTGGGCTCTATGCAAACCTGAGACTTATCAGCATCTGCTACCCTTCTCAGTCTGTAACCCCTTTAATGGCAGGTATATGGCACACTCTCCTTGCATTTTCTCCTAGTAAACGTATTTCTAGAGTGTATTTCAAGATTTTGTATGAACAACTATTTCTAACAAGTGCTAATATAAACATTAAATATATGTATGGATTTAACAAGTATTTATTAAACTTTTATTATGTGCATTACTCTGGGTGAGTAATACAAATAGTAAAGAGCAAAATAAAGCAAGGTCCCTGACATGAAGCTTTCATTCAAATGTGGAGACAATTAATCTAAAATCTGTAATCACAAACTGTTGATTTCTCTAAAGGAGGAAAAAATAGAGTGGCTTATAAGAGGAAAATGGTGAAGCCCTATAGCTGTTCTTCTAGGAGCCGATGCCAAGGAAGACCTGAAGACGTGGGTTACACCAAGCAACCTAGGATTTCAGAGTGAGAAACACCCCCCCACATTGACTTGCTTGAGAGAGGTTACATATTATCATCTCACTTTATTTACAGTCGTTTCTGATGCTCAGAGAGTTCAATTCCCGCCATCTCAAGTATCCAGGGACTTTCATAAAAGGGAAAAATTTGCAATGAAATGAGACCCTGCGGTCAGAGACAACTTGCATCCCCACTTAGGAAGTGAAAGGAGGCCCCTCCAGTGTGGAGGGAGCTCGCTGGGCGTGGGAGATACTAGTAAGATACTAGTAAGAGTTAAGGTTGAAGGGCCTCCCCGGTGGCGCAGCGGTTGAGCGCTGGGCTGCGAAGCTATGCAGCGCTGGTTCGATCCCCGGCTGCCAGGCAAGGGTCCCACATGGCGCGCAGACCTCTCCTGCTGCCCGCTGCTCCCCTCAGCAGTGTACTTTGTCACTCTGCCTGTTCTGCTCTCCCCTCTGGCTCTGGTGAATCCTCTCACCCTCCCGCGCTTCTGACTGTACCCAGTGCTTGTATAAATAAATAAATAAATCCTAAAAAAAAAAAAAGAAGTACTTTAAAAATAATAAAAGAGTTAAGGTTGAAGAGACAGGCTGGATGCAGATCCTACAGGATCTTGTAGGAATTTGGATTTTATTCAAAAGGCAATGGCAAGCTTTTGAAGAGTTTTAAGCATTAGAGTAACATAGCACAATGTCTTCAAAATCATTTATCTGTACGGAATAAAACAAGTTGGATATAAAATAATAAATATAATAATAATAGGATGGCTGTGGGGAGAGCTAAGAGAGGGCTATTACAGTAACACAAGGAAAGATAGCTTGACTTAGGTAGCTGTGGAGGTAAAAGAAGGAGGATTTGTGAGATATTTGAAAGATATTACTTTGATTATTATGTTTTTTTTTTTTAAAGATTTATTTATTTATTTATACAAGCACTGGGTACAGTCAGAGGCGCGGGAGGGTGAGAGAATTCACCAGAGCCAGAGGGGAGAGCAGAGCAGGCAGACTGATGAAGTACACTGCTGAGGGGAGCAGCGGGCACGGCAGGAGAGGTCTGCACGCCATGTGGGTCCCTCGCCGGGGGCTGGTGATCGAACTGGTGCTGCAGAGGCTGCAGACAGCTTTGCAGCCCAGCGCTCAACCGCTGCACCACAAAGGGAGGCCCTGATTATTATGTTTTTAAAATATACTTTAATCTGGTTATTGACTAATACATAGAATGAGATGCTCCGAGTGAGACCAGGGCTACAGGCCTGAGAAGGTGGGCACATAGAGGCTATGTCCTGAGATGGTACACATTGAAGCAAGAACATATTTGAGCTAAGAATAGAGGGTGGGAGTCAGCGTTCAGATTTAGCAGCTGGAGGACAAAACAGTATTTTGTTACAGGGGTGCTTATTAATAGCTTTCTGCAACAATAGCATAAAGGGAGAAACCCACACCTACAGTGCTGCTTCTCCCACAGCCAAAATAAGCCCTAGAACCAGAGGAGGGGAAGTGGGACGAACACCCCTCACTATTACATGCAATAGTGAAAAGGAATGACCACACAAATATTTTTCCCCCATTTTGGGGGCCACACTTCTTCTCAGAGGAGGACCCCCCCCGGGGCATCCACTGAATTAAGAGTGAATCCTGCACCCCTTTCTGTTGTTTACTGCTAGGAAATCAGACCAGTGGTTGAGTAGTGGTCTGGTGGCAGCCAGGTGAAGGGGGAAATCACCATTTCGTGCTCCTACTCTACAGTTAGGTGGGGGTGAGGGGGACATCACCTTCACGGGGATGGGGCCCAGGGAAGCGGTGCTCAAGAGCCCATGGAGGCAGCCTGAGAAGGTCATGGGTCAAAGGGCAATTTCTGCAATGTGATTGAAGATATACGGGGATTTCTTGGACTTCAGAAGACACATGGAAGGATATGGAGGGGAAGGTTGGAGTTTGGGTTCAGAGTGGGGAAGAGTAGTGAGATAAGAGCAGAGGTGATGGTGCCTGCAGGGACACTACTCGGACTTAGCACTTGATAACATTAAATAGGAATGTGAAGCCTAACGCCCTGGAGGAGTCGGGTGCCCATGTCAGTACTGTGGCCCCCAAGCATGCCAAACAGTGTGGTCATTCCAGGACCTCTGCTCCCTCAGGCAGCGATAGAGTTGGAATGCAGGCCTAAATTCCAACTTGGGGCTGCCTTGTGGCTGGTCTCAGATTGTGGGCTGGTCTTAAGCCGGTGTGAATTGATTTAGCGGGGAGTTTTGTTCCATCCAGATTTATATTTCTAATGTTAGGAAACCTTGAAAGGAATGACATTCTGTGATTAACTGGGCCTAAAGGGTGAAGTTTTATTCATGTCACTTGATAACCTCTGCTCCACTCTCCCATATAAACCACAAATTTGTGACAATGCCTTGGATGAAAGCTGGACACTAGGCTGTCTATCTTGTATTTTTATAATTTGATGTCAGCAGTGAGCCTATTGTTCATTTTTTTAAATGACCTTTCTATATTATAAGGCTGATTGGTGGGGCCTCCCTGGTGGCACAAGGGGTTAAGATGCAACCTAAGATGCTATCTACAGACACTGCAGCACAAGTTTGATCCCCAGCCAGGGAGAGACACCCACATGGTGCAGCAGACCTCTCCTGACTCGCCTACTGCTCCCCTCAGCAGTGTATATCAGTCAGTCTACCTGTTCTGTTCCCCGCTCTGTCTCTAGTGAATTCTCTCACGCCCCCCCATACCTCTGGACTGTAGCCCAGTTCTTGTGATGCATAAATAAATAAATCTTTAAAAAAAAAATAAAAGGCTGATTGGTGAGTAGTATATAATACGGTGTTACAAAGTAGTAACTTTTACTTAACATCTGGGGTTGGAGAGAGAGCAGACCATATTTCAGTATGCATTTCCAAGTACCTGAAACTGGTCTGTCTGTAGATATTTTTTTCTTTTTTCTAACTTTTATTCTTCCTACTGACTCAAAGGTGCTTTGATGAATTTGGTAGCCAGGATGAAAGATTTTTGTACATAATGGCCAACTTATCACTCAGTTGTATAATTTAATCTCCCGGTCCTGTGCATTTTTTTTTAAATACAAGAGCTGGGGTACAGGCCAGAGGCACGGGAGGGTGAGAGGATTCAACAGAGACAAAGCGGGGAGCAGAACAGGCAGATGACAGAAATATACTCCTGAGGGGAGCAGTGGGCGCGACAAGAGAGGTGTGCCACACCATGTGGGAATCTCCCTGGCCAGCCAGGAATCGAACTCACGCTGCAGAGGCTGTGGAGCTTCACAACACTGCACTCAACCTGCTGTGCCACCGGGGAGGCCCCAGCCTGTGCATTTGGAAACATGGAAACTGGGAATTCCCTTTTTCTTCTTATAAGATCATAAAAGGTATAGAAGAGGGCACTAAACATCAAAACGAACTCAATGTTATCATTTAGAAAAATAACAATGGAATCATTTGCACTTACATTCAACATGTCAGTTAGATGCAAGACACTGCAATTAATTGCTAAGCCAGATAAATGTTCCCTCCAAGAGTTTACAGTGTAACAGGATGGAGTTACGATGTATTGTTACATACTTAGAGTGGGAAGTAGTGGTGGCTGTGGAGCCACGGAGGTGGGACACCTAGCCCAAACCTTGGGGTCCAAGGCAGTAAAATCTAAACTGAGTTCAATGTGTTAAGCAGAAGTTAACCAAATAAGGCTGGAAAGAAAAAACATCCCAGGAGAAGGAACACTATGTGTAAAGGTCTGGGAGATGGTCAGAATGGTTTGTGGGGAGCAGAATTCCTCCCATATGACTAGAACATAGG